CACATAGGATTTTTTATTGTACTGATTTGCTGTGCTGCTCAAAGCATAAGAGCTTTCCTCTGAGTTGTGTGCTTCCATGAACAGCTGCTGATTATGTTGGTCAGTATTTCCATCAGTCCATCTTTTGTCTCAGATTTTCTCTGCATCTCCACAACAGGTTGCGTCAGTAGGATTTGCATGTGTTGCTCTGCAGCGTGTTTTGAGTCATTAAGATCAGGCTTGGATTTTTTATAAGTGAGTCATACGATAACTACTCAAACCCAGTCAGTTCTACTGGCTTTTGTCTGAACCCATTTATCCACGCTGTCTTTTAAGGCTGCTGTGTATCAGACGGACGGTCTGCCTACCTCAGTGATTTTTATTTTTTTAAATATTCACAGTGATTCAGACTCCACCATCTTTCCGTTAGCTCTTTCATTTGTTATTTTTGTAGCCTCTTGGGCCCGCTGTTTTTCCAGCTTGGGCAACTGCGGTTCATGTCCACCTCATTACCTTTACTTCCTCTTCTTGACTGCTATGTCTTTATCTCTGTCAAGCTATTACCTGTCCTTTACAACTGTTAAAATGACTTTCTTACATTTAACAGTGAGGTGACATCTGCCTGTATTTCCCTTTGAGGCTCTTCTTTATCCATCCTGAATTCAGTATTATGGCCTGGTTTATGGTTTATGGTATTGCCTGATGAATGGATGATGGCTGTAGACCGATTCTTCCCAGGCAAGGACATCAAACCCTCTTTATAGGATTCCTGCTTTTTTTTTCAGACTGGGGGTCTGCTTAAGGTTACAGGATTTTAAATCATTCACAATCATCATGGGTCACATAGTGGAGGCTGTTTTATATAAAAGTCATGCAGTGACAGATGGTGCAGAGTGATTTATGCAGGTATATGGTGTTTTTGGTTTTCATCTTAGTGTGAAAAGAGGTTTGGAATAATATGAGATTAATAATGTTTAGTTTAATGTAGAGGTACAGCAGTTCAGTGTAATGTTCATGAGATCACAGTGTTATCATTGTTGAATTGGGGGAATGAGTAAATGAATGATTGTGGAAAACAATGTAAACACTATTGCTCTAAGGTAGTTGAATGTGAGTAACTGGTTGTTTGTGCACCAGCCTGCAACTTCCTAACACTGATTGCTATTTAAAAAGCTGGACACGAACCATTCAATGGATGTGTCAGTTTTTTTTTTTTTCCAATAAACAACTGCCACCTGCTGCTGGAAACAAGGTTCATAAAGTGTGAGTGAAGCAAAACATTGAAGTTGCTCACCATACATCCAGAATGGTGAAGTGAACTGTTGACAACTGCTGAGTCGGCTGATTATTTGGGTTCATCATTACAAGTAACACCTTTCACATTACATAAAGTCATTTCATGTGGATAGTTGCAGCCTGAAACAACTGGCAAACATACTGATCATTAGCCTGGTGCACACTTTTCTGTCTGAGAATTATGCAACACATGAGTGTAAACTTTGGTTATTTATCCAAAGAATAATGTCATTATAAAATGTCAATGTGAGCTGTTTATGAAAGATGGCAAATTACAGAGTATAGCCAAGGGATTGTGGCATGTAGAGAGCTTTTCATATCCATTGACTGAAAATTCATTCAGACCCTGAAAATGAAGTGAAAGTGATAAGTTGGGAACAGGATTATAGTCAATTCAATGAACTTTTTCATTCATTCATTCATTCGCATAAATCATATCTATATGCTTTTCAGATATTGCATTTCCCTGTAGACTCAATGTCGCAACTGAAGGGAAGAAAAGAAATGTTTGCTCATCAGACCATGAAAACTATGAAGGATAGGAAAATTAACAGAGAATTAGTTTCTGACATAATGATAAACCATCTAAATATGAGTGTATTGTAGTGTTCTAATCTAATTCAGATGCCTCACTCAGAATGGGAAACAGTTCAGATAAATGGCATCCGATTAAGGCTTTATCAAGTTCTGTATGCTCATGGAGTTGGTTTGTGTGTTTGGGGTGTGTATTCATAAAAGTCCAACCACCAAGCAGCAGCTCTAGGTGCAAGACAGCCAGATGAAAAACACCTTACAGTTTTCCTTTAGCCCAGGTCAACAGAAATTGGATGAGGAGCTATTACAGAAATCATTCAAAGTACCTTATAAGAATTAAATACATGATAAACTGTGATTGACTGTACCTGCATTTCCAAAAGCCAAATCATAGCAAAGATCAAATTTAGCCTTTGTGCATATTTGGATGTTATACTACAGTTGAGAAGTGACTGACATAATAGTTTTGTTGCAAAGTTATCTGTGTATCAAAGCAACCCTCTTTCTAAGAGAAACCCTGCACCAAGGGTTAAAACATTTTCAGACTCAGTTCTTGATTATTTTACACAGTGTGTCAGAACTTCATCTGTAGCCTATCTGTCTTAACACCCAGGCCACACAGTCCCTGTCTCTCTCTCCCCCCTTTTCTTTCTCAGCCTCACTTATCATTTTTCTAATGGCCACACACAAGGCCATCCATTCAAAGACGTCCCTCATCTCACCACAATGGTCCCCTGGGGTGCCTTCATACAGAATAGACAGGACTAAAGTGTGAGACAGGAGGGACAGCCAGTGGGGCTCATTGCTTCTTCCTGTCTGATGACGAGGTTCTGAAAACATCCTTTTTCAGCCACTCTCTGCTTTGCTCAGATTTTAATGGTGAAGGCTTTTTTGAGAAAAACGATCATGGATGGTGTTTTTAGTACCTGTTTAACATTAATAACATTAATACTTAACACTTGTATAAGAGACTGTGGCAGTTTTATGTACAATTAAATAGCATTTACTATTTGCTGTGCTGCTGTATAGTTCAGTCTTTGACTGGACTGGCATTCAGGAATTGATTATTTTACACAAAAAAAGAGAAACAAAAAACATTTCAACCTATTTCAGTTTTTAGTCCAATGCTTTCTATAAGAAATGTGATCCATAATGAGAGGCGACATGCAATTTTCAGAAACACAGCCTCCTATTTACTCATGATACATACCGTATGCTTTTAATTCAGTATACTGAAAAGTCAAACCCTAAGATAGGTTACCAAGCAGCCACTTGTCCTGGGGCTCCAGAATGTCAGGGGCCTGAAAGCTCAACTGCATGCCAACTTGTTTGTAGTGATTTTAATGTAAAGTTTGTCTCATCACTGAAATACACTGAGGTTGGTCCTGTTTAATTACCTAAGCCCCTACAGGGCTTCACTGCATCTAAATCAAATGGATCTAATTTTTAGAACTTTATTGTTTCACCTCGGTGTTTGTGTGTTGCACACATATCAGCCACAACATTAAAATCACCCACCTAATATTGTGTGGGTCCCTCTTGTACCACCACAATAGTTCTGGCCTTTTAAAACTCTGATTCCACTCTGAGCCCTCTCAAGGTGTCCTCTGGTATGTGACACCAAAAAGTTGCAGCATATCCTTTAATTTTATCACTGAATTCTCAGATATGCTTTTCACTGTTGCTCCAAAATGCAAAAGTGTTTTCTTTCTTGGAGATTTCAACATCCACGTTTTTAGTTATTTATTTACTTACTTATTTGAATTATTTGGCCTGCAACATAGACTGTATAAAATATGGATGCCAAGACAGCTCCCAGAAGTGAAGCCGCTGCGACGAGCCCCCTACTGGCTGCCTGCATAAATCATAAATCCCAACCCCTCCATGTTAGTGGATTGGACATGAGACAAACTAAAAGCTCATTGTACAAATCAAAATATATTTCCCAGAGTTGATTTCTGTGGGGTTTTTGATAGATATTATCATGCTGATGTGTGTACAAGTGGTCATTTTCTGTTAAGTTTGTTTATCATAAGTTCTTTGATTATATAAAAAGGGATGCATTTCAGATGATTTGACAGATTTGTCAGCCTGTTATGTCACTCAACTACTGAGTTGCTACTGCACAGGATCTGGTTGCAAAATGCCAAGATGGCAGCCGCCGCATTGATAATGTTGTAGTAATGGGGATGAAGAGACACTTTGCGGGGTCCTGAAGAATGCTTTGGGGTGAGTCACCTGGCGGGATCCCACATAATGCCCTACTAGGCGGTATTTAGTTCAGGTTTGGCAAGGATTGTTCAGTGTAGTTGCCCATGTGCGCACACGTGTGTGCGATAAAAATAAATAAGAAAAAGGCAACTTCTGTCTCTGGCTCCTTCCTCAAGCTACCATATATTATAAAATGTTGGATTCACCTTTGCATAGCGGAGAGAAGTGGTGATGTGATGTCCATATTCATAGTCACTGGTCAACAATCAATAAATGACCTAACCTACAGTATGTTGAAGGACACGCCTTAGACGTAGTCCTATCCACAGGACTGTTTATATCCAACCTTATGACAGAAGTGTTTCATCTGTCAGGCCACTGGACAATAACCTCTGATATTAATATACTGTGCACCCCTCCTGTCCGCTCTGCATAACATTCTAAATTCCTCCACTCCTAGTAGATTTGAAGAATCATTTAGAGAGGCTCCCTTCATCACCATTACTGAGTCTCCTTCATCTCACATGAACACAGAGGAATTTGTCTTTCACTTTGAGAGTGCTGCATTAAAAACATAGCCAGCAACAGGAGAATCTGGCTATGTTCAAACCCCTTCTGGAAAATAAGAATGAGCTAATATACAGTATTTGTGAAGAATGGTGTATTTATAGTATCCTTAATGAAGTAGGTTTTCTAGAGGTAAAACATGCAACTTATGCACTCTATAATAACCCCATAATATTCGAGTGCTCTAGTGAGTTTACTACACCGCAGTAATTATTAGCTTTTTTATATATAAATCTCTGCATCACTGATATCCCTACTATTACCATTCAGTATTTTCTGCTTAAGTAAGCAATGCAGCAGTACAGTATTGAATTTAGCCGAAGTGACAGGTTGAGTTTGTCACATTAGTGAAGCAGAGGGAAGGAAGGCTGATGACACAGAGCTGGCACAGTGAGAGAGACGCACATTGCACTTTGTGCTGGAGAAAAGGAAGCGCGTATAGCTCCTCTCCATCACATTACACTTTCCAAACACTGACGGGAAAACAAAAAAAGCCAGGATGTAGAATCGGTTGCAGGGCGTCCACAAACCCCGCTACAGACAGTTTCTTCTGAGTCTTGTGGTCCTGGAGTCGGATTAATTCTGCTCCACCAGCCGCGCGTTCAGCTCGGTGCTGGAGTCTGTCGATCGATCGAGGAGGAGGAGAGGTGCTACTCGCTGCTTCATCCCGCCGGATGGATCAGCGCTCCTCTTCTCTCACTTACAACTGACGGCTTGGTCTTCATAGAAACTCTCCTGTCTTTGTTTGGAGGAGTTGGGATTTTGTTCCCTCATCCAGTTTAATCGGTGAGTGGTTTATGTTCGAGTGTGTGCGTTTAGCTCGCTGTGCGTTTTAGGAAATGCTGAGTTAAAATTTTACTAACTGTAAAGTAAACCTCAGAAATTGTGCGATAACATTTCCACATAGGTAAATCTGGAGTGGGTCACCTCCTTATTCTGATTCAACAGGTTTGTTTCAGTCAAGCGCTTTGCGGTCAGTTAACGATGCTGCTCAAGATTGTTGGTGGTTGTAGCTTTACTACTGATGGCGATAACGTTTAACTGATTAAATCCATTGTATTCACTTTACATATATATTTATTCATATTTATAGCTAATGCGGGCTTAAGTCCAAAAGAGCCATTTGGTTCAGAACTTGGTGTCGGTCAGTGTTGCAAACTGTTACAGGTTTTTGATACGAGTAGAAATTATGGAGTATAAAGGTATAAACTTTACACTGAGGTAGTATGTTAAAGCCTGAACAGAAATGAACGGGAACCTGTGTCTTTAACTGTGTTTTGTCTGTCTGGGGGCCTGACACTTGTGCCTAAATTGCTGCCATATCAGCTATTTCCTCCAAATTGGATGACATTTTGGGCAGGTTCTTGCGGATTTGGATAGAAACCAGGGAGTAACAGGACATTTAATTTAAAATGTCACACACAAGCTTAATGCTGCTTTATTGTTTGCCAATGTCGTGGCAAATATTGATAATTTGGATTATTATCTAGTGTGCTCCTGTTTCAAGCTTCCTTTCCTTTTTTATTCCTCAGATGTCAGTGGATTTGGTGGAAAGCCAAGTCTGACGGTGAGGAGGACTACTTTGAAGACTTGACAATGGCAACAGGAGTAGCTGCATGGCTCCCTTTTGCCAGGGCAGCAGCCATTGGCTGGATGCCTGTTGCCAACTGCCCCATGCCTGTTGCACCAAGGGACAACCATAAGAGACAGGATGAGCTGATCATCCTCAATGTCAGTGGCCGTCGTTTTCAGACCTGGAGAAACACTCTGGACCGGTACCCAGACACCCTGCTGGGCAGCTCTGAAAAAGATTTCTTTTACAACGAAGAAACCAAGGAGTACTTCTTTGACCGGGACCCTGACGCCTTCAGAAGCATCCTGAACTTCTACCGGACAGGAAAGCTCCATTACCCTCGTCATGAGTGCATTTCAGCTTATGATGAGGAGCTGACCTTCTTTGGCATCATCCCTGAGGTCATCGGTGACTGCTGCTATGAGGAGTACAAGGACAGAAAGAGGGAGAATTTAGAACGTCTGCAGGATGATCAGGAGGAGAACAAGGATATGAAACTGCCAAAACTGAACTTCAGGGAGACCATATGGCGAGCTTTTGAGAACCCTCATACCTCCACCATGGCCCTGGTCTTCTACTACGTCACTGGTTTCTTCATTGCCATCTCAGTCATAACTAACGTGGTAGAGACTGTGCCCTGTGGTTCCACAACCAACCAAAAAGACATGCCATGTGGTGAACGCTACACAGTGGCTTTTTTTTGCATTGACACTGCCTGCGTCATGATATTCACAGTGGAATACCTGATGCGCTTGTTTGCTGCACCTAGCCGTTACCGTTTCATGCGCTCAGTGATGAGCATCATTGACGTGATGGCCATCTTGCCATACTACATAGGCCTGGTGATGACCAACAACGAGGACGTGAGTGGTGCCTTTGTGACGCTGCGTGTGTTTCGAGTGTTCCGTATTTTCAAGTTCTCCCGTCACTCGCAGGGCCTGCGGATCCTGGGTTATACCCTCAAGAGCTGTGCTTCAGAGTTGGGTTTCCTCCTCTTCTCGCTCACCATGGCCATCATCATCTTTGCCACAGTCATGTTTTATGCAGAGAAGGGCTCCAGCTCCAGCAAGTTCACCAGCATCCCAGCTTCCTTCTGGTACACCATTGTCACCATGACGACACTGGGGTGAGTAATAGACATGCACACTCACACAGGTAAATACATGTGTTTACACTGTAAACAACTATTATCTCTTGTTCATTGTGCTCTATCTGTATCTGAATTTGTGACAGACTTTCAAAAATCATTTATGATGATAAATGAACTATATACATTTTCATGTGGATTTTTTACATAAACTAAATAATTTATGGAAACCACTTTGAATTTAAAATAAGCATTTAGACAGCTTACCCCCATGCTTCAGTACACTACAGCTTATTTGAGGCTGCCAGTGTGAGTAATGGTGGGTAGTGCAGCATTTATCTATAGCACAAACATTCGTGGCATTTTGTTTGCCTCACTTAGAGCTTGCCAAAGAAAACAACTGTGGTTCAATACATCTAAGTACTGAATAGATTCCAGGTTTCTACACAGGTTTTGTGTGTGAACTAAGGATACAATTGATTAGGGCTACATTTAGTGTTTTCTCTTTTTATGTGTATTTTCTGCTTTGGTTCAGAAATCATTGTTTCCACTTTATTTTCAGTCTCTTGACAAAAGTGTTGCACAGGATGAAGCCTGACCCAAGATATAGAGCAAGGCTGATACACTGTGATTATAGTCATGTTAATGTTGGAAACAAATTGTCACGATTGGTCAGCCAGTCAAAATTATCCAATAAACTAACCCATTAAAGCTGCATTAACTAACTTCTCCTTCTAATTTTTGACCATTAAGTGAGAGTTAAAACAAACTTGAGCACTGACCACTCCTGTTCTCCCTCTGCTCCTCTTTGCCCCTCCTGCCCTGTCTCTCAAACTATGTCAGAGGTGGTCACAACAGCCAGAGACAGTTGTGGCAGTCAGGCAGCATGGCAGTCAGGTAGCGCAGCAGTAATAACCGGCTCCAGAGCTAATGTATATGGCATATAGAGCCTATAGAGCCCCTGGTTTTCTGTGGCATTGTAGTGACACAATGTCACATAAACAGGTATACATTTTAGCGATATGCATACATACTGTATGTCTAACATTGTTTGTCACAGATGTATTAGCAGTAACACAAGCAAATTGTACATTTTAATTTATTTGTATAGAGCCAAAACAGAGGAATGTTTTTTCACAGTAATATTGATACTGCACCAATGTTCTGGCCATTATCATATTGTTACATACTGGACACATAATATTATAAAGTAACCGTGAGTTGTATGTGAAATGAGACATTTCATGTTACGCTGTGATAGTTGAACAAAGATCCCACTTTTCTAGCTGTTTCTAGTTGTTGTAGCATAGATTTTAACAACTTCTCACTAAAAAGCTACATGGACTGCAGTGTTATGTCCGACATAAGCTGGACCAAAACTGAGCAAAAATTAGCAAAATTACTTCATTTTATCAAATTTTATACTTTAGTATAGATTTGGAAAAAAATGTGAACCTGTCCTTTAAACTATTAATGAGGATGTACATGCCAAAAATTGTTCAGGTGCCATTATAGCAGTTATTTCAGAGTAAAGATTTTCCTGTAGAAACATATTCTTTGTTCTTACGTATTCATGTTTTTGGTCAGTCTGTTTTGTCTCTTCATAAACAATGAAATGGAGACAAAATGAAAAGTCAAGCATGGACCAGAATAGCTCTATTAGTCTCTCTACTGTGTGAGGGCTGAAAAGGCTGCCGGACCTTAGCAATGCTACAGTATTTGTGTATGTTAGAGTTTGTGTGCGTATTATAAGAGAGTCTTGTGTATCGCACATACAAAAGGATAGAAATGCCAAGGTGAAAGCTTTATGCAAATTGCAGTCCTGAACAGTGAGTTTGAGCGTGAAGCCATTATGTCCAACACAAAATAGACAGCAGCACCGAAAGCCTGTCTACACCTCCAACAATAGTGATCCTCACCGCTAACCAAGGACATTCATTTGCACTCAGGAAAACTACCAAATGATGCACATTCACTCAATGAATTTCTGAGCACTCAAATTCAGTTTTTAACATCTAAAATCAGTTGTATGTTCTGTTTTTCTGTGTTCTTCTGGGAGGAAACGCTGTTAATATTCTCTTTGTGCAGAGAGAAACCGACCACATTTCTTTTAATCCCATATTACAAATGCAATTAAACAAGAGCAAGAATTCAATATTGCTTGGATTGTCTGTTAAGAAACTTGCCCTAAAATTTGCATCCCTAATTTTAAGCTACATCATAATCTTTCTGTAAACCAAACCAAGATGTTTTTTTGCACCTAAACCTGACCAAACTGTGGCTATTCCATAACCTTAACCACATGCTTATTATTGTACCTATGATGACAAAGGTCCTGTACATGTAAATGTACATTTACATGTGACAAAAAGAAGCTGTCACATACATGTAAATTAGTCTGTGTTTTGCAGAACTCAAGACCACGCTTCCAGAACAATAGCAAGTGTGTAAAAATGAAATTGTTCAAATAGTGGTGCTAGTAATGCAGTGTGCGCCCTTTGACCCTGTCCGTATTCTTCTATCCTTACATAACTACAACTGCGAGTGAACCCTCATGCAGCTGCGTTTTATAAATCTCAGTGTTTCCTTCTGCCTGTCCATCTGTCCACATATGCTCAAAATGATTCTTTTAATCAAGATTCCCAGACTGCACTTTATTTGCAGGTTGGGCTGTGAATGTACATGATTTCCCCTGTGTATGTGCGTGTATGTGCGTGTGTGTGTGTGTGTGTGTGTGTGTGTGTGTATGCATGTGTAATGACTTAAAATTTACTTGACATATAAAGCAAATTGCTTTTCATTTTCCAAATCATTTTCAGTTTTTAATTTTCATATCACAAAAAAACATCTTTCATCAGATGGTATAACAAGATACAAAATTTGTTTGTGGCTTGCCATGTGGCAGCACACATACAGTATACACACACACACACTTGAAGGCCAGTTTATTTCAGAACATTTTACATTATCCATCAATCACTTGAACCACAAGCACAGCTGATACCTCACTAAATTAAAATATGACTCTAACCTTAACTCACTCCTAAATAAAGGGGTGCTCCAGTGATTTGCACTTCCATAAAACTGAGATTTACAGGAGACACATTTAAAAAAAGAGAAAAATAGTCAATATTGAGGCAGAAGAAGTTGAAATATTGTGAATCTAAGACCCCAGGCTAAATAAAACTTCAAAGACCCTGGATCCTACATTTCCTGTAATGCAATTTGATAGTAATTTTTTGTTAAACCCCCCAGGGGATAAATGCCCACATCTCCAACTCTGCATCCCTAGTTTGTAATGCAAGGTTTCCATTAAAAAATATGAAGTCTCCCTACCCAAGCTGATCATTTTTGTTTTCAGCAATAGCCATTCAAAGTATTTCTTGTCTGTAATTACCTATAGTCATTTTGATTGTTAGTGGCAGAGTTCACCATTCCCGCACTGTATTAAAATTGCCTTCACACAAACAAGGGAGTCACAAGGAACAATGTAGCATGTAATCCAATGCTATTGTTATAATTTGATCATGTCAGTCAGCCTCACTGTTTACGTTTCACACTTCTATGGCCATATCATCTTATTAGGTTTCCGCTAATGCAAACCAAATATTTCTGGCAAGACAGTGGGTGGTTTTAATTGTATCATTACAGTGAATGTACCATATTTGTCCCTGTGGCCATCTATCAAAAAGGCATTTGTAAAACAAGAAATTGTCGTTTTGGGCACTTTCAACAGCAGATCGGTTTAAAATATTGCAGGGTTTAATGGAACAAGAAGGAGTGGCCATGTGAGCTTTTAGATGAAGTGTTCAGGTCGTACGTTTCCAACTGTTATCTAACTACCATAAACAGCTTGTCTAAGGCAGTTAAATGAGCTGTCCCCATGTGTGTAGTCTATAAATGAGACATCTGGCAGAAACACATACACAAATCAACAAATATGTAGACCTAGTTCATGGCTAACATATTTAAGCCTGAAAATGGAGGGATTTGATGAGCTGAGGACACTAAGTAGTTATTACACACAACAACATTATGCACCAATGTAAAAAGTATTGGGTGCTGACAGGTGACGGCCAAGTCTGTCAACATTTTCACCCCATGAATATACAGTATTTCTCGAAACAAACACACACTCAGCAGGCTGATTGATTCACATGCACATACATAGCTGCTGCCTTTGATCTGGTCTCATCTTTATATCTCGGATCTCTACGTCCTCTCTGCATGAACCCAGACAGCACAGCGCAGCAATTCTGGGTAATGGGCTTGAGCTGAGGGAGATGAAGGGTGGAAAGGGACTGACTGGCTGTATAATCAGCCACTTTCACTGTCCAGGAACAGGGGTGTTAAATTAACCTCAGGTGGCTGATAAAAGGATCAGGATTGAATCTCTGCAAGGCTTGCTCCGTGCGGCTGCCTGCTGGCGCTGCTGCTGTCAGAGCCGTCCGGATACACAGTCATTGGCATCAGTGGGCCAGGATCTAAAAGACTGATGAGGAAGAAGAAAGACTTCTCACCCCTTATTTCTCTCCCTAACTACTGTATCTTGCGCTCCCCTTCCTCCCTTCATCCCCCATGAGTTTCCCAGGGGAACAGCTATTTTAAGAACACAGGCCCTGTGTGTGAAAGGGAGTTACAAATATAATCGAATGCATGATACAGGCAAAATGGATGAAAGCGATTGTTTTTACCTGCATGACAGGTGCAGTGGAAGCGAAGGTTCACTGGCACACTATTAGCTTCTCCAAGTCTCTAGAAAAACATTATTAACCCAATAATGAGCAAAATATTAATGAGGTGTGCTTTGGAATCTGACTATAGTGTTACAATTAGTGATTTTCCCAATTGTAGAGTCCTGGTCCTGGACGGAGGCTTGTTCTGTAGCAGAAAGTGGGAGAAAATATTGTTACGCATGTAGGTCATGTTCCCATCTCTGTCTTAATCAGTGGCTATATATAATCTGCTTCTTTCTTCAGAGAGACTTTTACTGTAGCTCACTCCCCCCCTGTGTTCTCTGCTCAGTGTTTCTATTAGAC